ATGTCTTAATTATTATTTTTTTAGTTTTTGCCTCAAGCCCTAGGGATGATACCATCACGTTTTTTTGGCCAAATTTTAAATTCATCAAAAAAGTTGCCGAATTTGACATGGATGTTTCTATTTGAACGTAAAATCCTTTGTAAAAGCTTCATGTCAAAAAGTCTTGTCAATAATATCTAAATTATTATTTTTTTAGTTTTCCTCTCGAGCTCCAAGGGGTACCATCACAATATTTGGCTAAATTTTAATTCCATCAAAAAAGTTGCAAAATTTGACATGAATTTTTCTATTTACATATACCATCCTTTGTAAAATTTTCATGCCAAATAGACATGTCAATAATGTCTTAATTATTATTTTTTTAGTTTTGGCCTCAAGCCCTAGGGGTACCATCATGTTTTTTTGGCCAAATTTTAAATTCATCAAAAAAGTTGCCGAATTTGACATAGATATTTCTATTTGAACGTAAAATCCTTTGTAAAAGTTTCATGTCAAAAAGTCTTGTCAATAATATCTAAATTATTATTTTTTTAGTTTTGTCCTCGAGCTCCAATGGGCACCATCACAATGTTTGGCTAAATTTTGATTCCATCAAAAAAAGTTGCAAAATTTGACATGAATGTTTCTATTTACATATACCATCCTTTGTAAAATTTTCATGCCAAATAGACATGTCAATAATGTCTTAAATATTATTTTTTTAGTTTTGGTCTCGAGCCCTAGGGGTACCATCACGTTTTTTTGGCCAAATTTTAAATTCATCAAAAAAGTTTCCGAATTAGACATGGATTTTTCTATTTGAACGTAAAATCCTTTGTAAAAGCTTCATGTCAAAAAGTCTCTTCAATAATATCTATATTATTATTTTTTTAGTTTTTCCCTCGAGCTCCAAGGGGTACCATCACAATATTTGGCTAAATTTTAATTCCATCAAAAAAGTTGCAAAATTTGACATGAATGTTTCTATTTACATATACCATCCTTTGTAAAAAAAAAAATTTGCACAAAATCTTAGAATTCATTACCAAAACACTAGTTCAAACACATTACAACATACCTCAGCACTAACCATACCTACATAACAACCATATTAAACTACCTTCATATAGCTTAGGTAACATTTAATATAAAAAATTGCTTGGTGAATAGCCTCTCCAGCTTCACTCCTCCTCTGGTGGATTCTCTCGTTCCTCCATCTCCACACCTGGTAAACGCAGGTAGCCCAGGCTGCTATCCACTTTTTCATGTGCTTCCCCCCCCTGCCATTCCTTGTATTGCTCTCCTAAATTCCTCATCAGAGCCTATGTTATACCGCAGGTCAAGAGCATTCATTACTGCTTCAAATAGGGAAATTGACACTGCACATTCACACAGCTCACAGTTGGTGTTAATGTTCATATTTGTATGCAGCCTCCCTCTCCAAAACAGCCAGATTATAAATCTGATCTTGGGTGGGGTAAATTTATTCCACACCCAGTCTCTCCATTTAGGTTTCTCCCTAGCTCCTTGAAGCCAATCATATCCCTTGCTAATAGTGTATGGATATTGTGTTGGCATGTCTGCAAATTTTTCCTTCACCCTCATCATTTCCTTCCAGTAGTGGCAAGAATCCTGCTTAGGCTTATACGTCCAGAAGTCACACTCTTTAATATATCTGGCGTGTATCCATCTAACCCAAAGGATGTCCTTCTTTCCATCTATGTCCCAAACAACATTCATGATGGGTGCATAATTCCAGTTCATCACATTCCTTATACCTAGCCCACCAAACTTCTTTGGTTGGCAAACCTCATTCCAGTTGACCAGGGGGACCTTCTTGTACTCTGTTGTACCATTCCAACCTTTGTAAAATTTTCATGCCAAATATACATGTAAATAATGTCTTAATTATTATTTTTTTAGTTTTGGCCTCGAGCCCTAGGGGTACAATCACGTTTTTTTGGTCAAATTTTAAATTCATCAAAAAAGTTGCCGAATTTGACATGGATGTTTCTATTTTAACGTAAAATCCTTTGTAAAAGCTTCATGTCAAAAAGTTTTGTGAATAATATCTAAATTATTATTTTTTTAGTTTTGCCCTCGAACTCCAAGGGGTACCATCACAATATTTGGCTAAATTTTGATTCCATAAAAAAAAGTTGCAAAGTTTGACATGAATGTTTCTATTTACATATACAATCCTTTGTAAAATTTTCATGCCAAATAGACATGTCAATAATGTCGTAATTATTATTTTTTTAGTTTTGGCCTCGAGCCCTAGGGGTACCATCACGTTTTTTTGGCCAAAATTTAAATTCATCAAAAAAGTTGACGAATTTGACAAGGATGTTTCTATTTGAACGTAAAGTCCTCTGTAAAAGCTTCATGTCAAAAAGTCTTGTCAATAATATCTAAATTATAATTTTTTTAGTTTTGCCCTCGAGCTCCAAGGGGTAGGGGTACCATCACAAATTTCCCTCGGACATCAGCACAAATTTCCTAAGTATCGGTTTTGAACGTCCCTGCCCGGCTCTGCGCTCCGCTCGTCCTTCCTGCCCGGCTCTGGGCTCCGCCCGTCCTTCCTGCCCGGCTCTGCGCTCTGCTCGTCCTCCCTGCTCGGCTCGGCCAACCAAGCCGAGCCCGAGCCTCGCGACAATGACATGCGGAAAGCGACGTTCAATGGAGACTTGAGGAAAGCGATAGGATGA